TACAGAACAGCTGCTTTCAATATTTTAAGATTTACTTGAATGACTTGCAATGGTTAACTGACTTCCAGTTTTACAGTGGTTTAGGTAGGATCTGGCACTCGCTGGATGCTGCAGATTGAGGATTTGAGCTCTTGCTTTGTGCACAAGGTGCACCTCTGGCATGGACAGCAGCAAAGCAGTCCCGGTGCTGGCTGGAGCAGTTGTACCCTTCAGAAATTTAAGAGCCCCAGAGGAAATGCTCTGCTCTGTCTGCTCTGGAGCTTTCTGCAGGAACAGCTCTGCTCATCATCCTCGACCAGGTTTTGCTGGGGCTCCTTCAGCACCATGACTGTCCCAAAGGAATGCACAGAACTGAGGTCACTGAGGTGAGATCATCTGTGGAAAGGGAGGAATTCTGCTTCCAGTGAAGTCAGATCACACACACACACACACTGACTCTTCCTTGGGAAACACAGCAGGATTTTTGATGACAGACTAACAAACTCAACACAAATTAAAACACAAAATCAACAAAAAAGCCCAAAACCCCAACACATGCAGCCCCAGCAAACACACTTGCACTCCATTTCTTGTCATTACAACTCACTTGAATGTCTTTTGCTTTTTGCAATGGAAGTTTGTTCTCAAACCCCTCTCATCTGCTGCACACATGGCTACCAAAGACTGTCAGCCCCAAAGTTCTACAGTTTGGGCAGATGCTGGGTTCCTGCACGAAGGAGGTTCTCAGACACTGCTGCAGCAATGACAGGAAGGAGAGTCTTGGACACACACACTTTGCACGAGGCTGGGAACACTGTAGGAACAGGCTGTAAGCTGTGAATATCAATATTTAAAACCATTTCCCCTCGGAAACCGAGCTCATACCCTCGGTTTGCTTCCAGAGCAGGTCTCAGATCTCAGCAGAGCAGGAGCAGCTCTGCCCAGGGGTGCAGAGGCTCCCAGCCCGGGCTCTGTACAAACCTGGGCAGGGACAGAGGCTCTGGTGGCAGCAGAGCCCCAGCTGCCCCCCATGCACCCCACGGAGCCACCCACGCAGCCGTGCCACCCCTTCCACACAGACCTCTGACAGAACACGCACGTTTCTGCATTCGGTCACTCCTGGAGGAAATCTGAGCCCGAGCAACACCTGCACACAATGAGTACCAAGTGAGGAAGTCATAAAGAGCCAGCTGCCCTTTATTGAAATTCCCTTCGCACACAGCTCGCCGTACATTCTTTCCAGAGAAGCAGAAGCGCCAGGGTGCCACAGCCCCAGAGTTCCAGAGCAGCTCCAGCACCATCCGAGCAGGAACTCTGAGCAGCAGCAGCTCTGGCCGGGGCTGCCCACAGGTCACAGTCACGGGCACCGCCTGCCACACACTTCTTGCCACACAACAAGCTCGGATTTTTAAAAATACAATCATTATGTACAGCAAAATATGTGGTCACAAGACCAGCCTTAAACCGAGGCCTTGTTTACACAACTTCTGTGATGTCAGGAAGTATTTTGGCCGGGAATGTAATTTTTCTTCCAAAACAAGTAAATATTTGCAATTCTCACTGTGAAAAGAGTGATATACCACCTCTGTATTGACACGGGTGCAACATATTCCCACAGGGAAAAGGAATAAAGAGTACCTTTATATTGATACAACATTTCCCTCAAGTGTCGAAGCTAATATAGCTTTCATCACTCAGTCAAGTTAAAGCAGGATGATTTTTTTCAGACTTTTTATAGACAAGGCCTATGTTTGACAAGCACCAAAACACTTCAGAGTATTTGGAAGATCAGACCACTGAACTCTACATTTTGTACTGTCCTCAGCAGTCACAGAGAACATGGAATGCCTAAATACATTCAAAACCCTGATCAGACAGTGCCATGCTGCTTCAATGCTCCACTGTTTAACAAATGCAGCTTTTTGGCCAAACCCAGCATGTACCACTGGAAGGCCCAGCACAACACAGAGCTCAGCTGGCTGCCCCAGCTGCTCTGCCAGGCTGAGCAAAGCTGGACTGTGTGCTACAAACACCCACTTCTGCTTTGTTCCTCCGGCAGCGGGGCCAGAGGCACTGGGGAACCAGAGGGGTCTGCTGGCTCCTGGGCGGGCACAAGAAATACCTGCTTTTATCAACCACATCAAGCTGCTGTCAGTGCACTGATCCAGGCCTGGTGGGTGCTAAAAACCGTACATTCCCATTGAACTTAAGGCAAAATGGAACCATGGCAGCAGCTGAGATGTACATTTATTTTTTTTAATGTCAGACATGCAGTTTGGAAGCTGCAGATGTGGCAGCAGGCACATTCCTCAGCTTTCAATGCAGTACTTGGGTTAAAAGTGTTATTCCCCTGTCTTCCCAGCATGGGAGTCCTCTGGCTTCTAATGAACTTTCAGGAGCTCCTGGAAGATGAGCAGCAGTGAGGTTTTCAAGTTTCCCCCAAACACGGGGGTGAATTGATGTGTTTATCCCAGGCAGCAGCGCTGGGGCTGCCTCCTCCTGCTCTGCTCTTCCCTGGGGCTGTGTCACCAAACTGGCCTTGCTGCAGGCACTCACCGAGCTGGGCAGGAGAAACACACTGAGCATACAAGCTCCAACGTTTTCAACACATACTTGATGTTACTGCAAGAAGTATCCAATTGTGACTAAAGCACAAATGGAATTTTCATTTCAAAACTGCATCAAACTACACACTGCTCTTCCAGCGCTGAGGCACAAAGTTCTCCTGCTTAAAAAGGAGAAATTACCAGAATCACAGAGGAATCGTGGCAGTCACTTTTCAGTTGGCCTGATTAAAAACCCCTTTACACATTGCTCAACCTTTGTTTTTGAGATGTAAGATAATTTCAAGACTTCTCGGGACAGGGGGGAGAAGGACAAAGAGAGCTGCAGGTTTTGTGTGCAGACCTTTACAGAAGGGGCAAAGAGAACAGGTAAAGAAGCTCCTTGGACCTTCCAGCTCAGGGGAGGCACAGGTCTCCTCCCTCCCCAGCCCCTCTGCAAAGCAGAAAACAAAAAGGTCTGGTTTATCATTTTAAAGTGATAATGCAGTGAGACCAAAAGTTTGAATTTCATAAATAACTGACCTTTAGAACTTCACCCCACTAAACCACTGCTTCCAGGAGGGAAAAAGGGCCTAATCTGAGAGGGCCATTGGAGGAAGCCCACGCTGCCTTCCTAAGGCTGCCTCTGAGCACAGCCTTCTTCCCACAGCTCGGCAGCACGGGCCAGGACCTGAACACGAGAAAAACCGGCATCAAAAATGGCTAAATACCAGGTAAAACACCAATCCTGTGGTTTGCCTTTTCTCACCACTGTTCTTAGCTAAAGTGACCCCTCCACCTTTCACTGCCACTGAGATACAAATCTGGATTAAGAGCCTGTGTGAAAGTCAGTGTTTCATGTGATACATAACAATGCACAAAGTTGTTTTCTAAAAAACAGCATTTGTATTAAAATTCTTCAAATGGATAGACATCTCTTCAATGAATGTCTGCAATTAAAATGACAGTTGTTAGAGTTTTCTTGGTACATCACAACTATAAGATTTCCTTCTTTGCTGGCTGGAGGCACATCCCAAAAAAAAAAAAAAAACAAAGGGAAAAAAAACCAAAAAAAAAAAAAAAAAAATACCCCCACCCAAAAATCCCAAAAGGCTAAATTCTTGTAAATTTGAAGTAAATGAAGCCCAAACTTGCAAGACATGGAAATAACAGTTAAAAGGCTCAGATGGAAATAAGAAATAAATTCCACTAACAATAGGCCCTTTTGTCCTGGCTTGCTCGGTGTGATTACTGCAAGGAAACTGTTAAGTAGTTTTTGGAGTAGTAGATAATGGGATTCTGTGGAGCTTTCACAGGTTGGCACCGGCTGGAACAGCTGAGTTTTGAAGGCACTCTACAGACACAGGGCTGCTGTTGGCCCTGCGTCGCTCATGGGAAGTCTTTGCACTTGAGAGAGCTAGTCATCAAAATCAGGTATTGCCAACCCAAATCCAAAACCCCGCGGCAAAAACAGCACCACCGCCCCCCCCCCGCCAAAGGAAAAACCAAAACCACAACGAAATCACACACGCACGCACACCTAAAAAATTGTGCAGATTTGTAACATTTTCACAGCTGATTTAGAAAAAAAAACAAAACCAAACAAATAAAACCAGGAGAAAAACCACCACGCTACCACTCTCCTGCAAACTCCCATCCGATACAGCAGTAAACAAAATAGAGCAATTATCGCAGGGACATCGGCGGCGCCGCCGGCGCCCCGAGCCTGGCAGCACCCATCGGGTCCCAGTCCCAGTTCCATGTGCAACTCTCGGGCGGGACGGCCCCGCGCCGCGCCCGCTTGCATAGAGACGGCGGCGAGCGGCGCCGGTGCGGGCCCGCTCCGGGGCTGCGGGTCCCGCTGTCCCGGGGATGCGAGTCCCGCTCCGGGGATGCGGGTCCCGCTCCGGGGCTGCGGGTCCCGCTGTCCCGGGGCTGCGGGTCCCGCTCCGGGGATGCGAGTCCCGCTCCTGGGGATGCGGGCTCCGCTCCGGGGATGCGGGTCCCGCTGTCCCGGGACTGTGGGCCCCGTTCCCGGGGGTGCGGGCTCCGCTCCGGGGGATGTAGGCTCCGCTCCGGGGGTGCGGGTCCCGCTGTCCCGGGGGTGCGGGCCCCGCTCCGGGGATGCGGGTTCCGCTGTCCCGGGACTGTGGGCCCCGTTCCCGGGGGTGCGGGCTCCGCTCCTGGGGATGCGGGACCCCGCCGGCTCGGGGGTGCGGGCCCCGCTCCCGGCCGGGCTCCCCGCGGCTGTCCCGGGATGTCCCGGGGCTGTCCCGGGGCGCGCTCCCCGCGTGGCTCCGCTCCCCGGGCGGCGGGGCCGGCTGCTCCCGCGCCCGCCGCCGACACTGACAGGAAATATGCCATGACCGAGACTGGACGAGACGTAGACGCCGAGAAAAGCCACATTTGCACCACGATGAATTTTCCGCCGATGCCGTCCCCCCGAGCGTGCCCGCGGGCGCGGGGCCGCCGCCGCCCTCAGAGGATGGCGCAGGAGGCGCAGCACGGCTCGTCCCCGTTGGGCTGCGCCGCGTAGTTCATCTGCCTGACGATCTCGGCGAACAGCTCGTCCACGGACGCTTTGTTTTTGGCCGAGGTCTCCATGAAGGGGCAGCTCCACTCCTCGGCCAGCGCTTTGCCCTCCCCGAAGGAGACCTCGCGCTCGCCCTCCAGGTCCACCTTGTTGCCCACCAGGATCATGGGCACCCGCTCGTACCTCTTGACGCGGATGATCTGGTCCCGCATGGGCTTGATGTCCTGGAAGCTCTGCTGGTTCACCAGGCTGTACACCAGGATGAAGCCCTGCCCGTTCTTGATGTAGAGGTCCCGCATGGAGGCGAACTGCTCGGTGCCCGCCGTGTCCAGGATCTCCAGCACGGACGGCGACGAGTCCACCTCGATCTCCTTGCGGTAGAAGTCCTCGATGGTGGGGTCATACTTCTCGATGAAGGAGCCGGTCACGAACTGCACGGTAAGGGCGGACTTGCCCACGCCGCCCGAGCCCAGCACCACCACCTTGTACTCCCGCATGGCTCCCGCCTCCCTCCGCCGCCTCCCGCTCGGGGCTGCCGCGGCGGGCGGGGACGGGGCGGGCGCAGGGAGGGGACGAGGGACGGCCCCGCGCCGGGGCGGGGAAGCGGCGCCCGCGCCTTGCGGAGCGGCGGCGGGAGAGCCCCGGCGCCGGGCAGCGCCGAGCAGGAGGAGGAGGAGGAGGAGGAGGAGGAGGAAGGGGCTGAGGAGGAGAAGGCGGGAGGGCGAGAGGGCGACGGCGCTGCCGGTACCGGCCCCGGCCCGGCCCCGGCGCGGCGGGGGGACGGCGCTGCCGCGGCCCATGGCGGCCCGCCCGCGCCCATTGGCTGCGGCGCGCGGCCCGCCCGCGCCCATTGGCTGCGGCGCGCGGCCCGCCCGCGCCCATTGGCTGCGGCGCGCTGCCTGCCCGCGCCCATTGGCTGCGGCGCGGCGCCGCCCGCCCCCATTGGCTGCGCCGGCGAGCGGCGATCCGCGCCCCGCCCCGCCCCGTCTGTGTGACCCCCGCCCGCCGCGGGGCTGCGCCCGGGATCGGGACCGGGACGGGGACCGGGATCGGGATGGGGATCGGGACCGGGATGCCAATCGGGATCGGGATGCCAATCGGGATCGGGATGGGGTCGCCGCGCGGCCCCTCCCGCCCGGGGACCTCCGCACTGGGATCGGGATCGGGACCGGGAACGGTATGGGGATCGGGACCTGGACCGGGATCGGGGCCGGGGCCGGGATCCGGATCAGGATGCCGATCGGGATCGGGATGGGGTCCCGCCGCAGCGCGGCGCTGGGGCCCGGCAGCGCGGGTGCCGCGGCCGGCGCCGCCGTGCCGGTGCCGCCGTGCCGGTGCCGCCGTGCCGGTGCCGCCGTGCCGGTGCCGCCGTGCCGGTGCCGCCGTGCCCGCCCGCTCTCGGCGCTGCCCGCCCGGTGTCCGCACTCCGCCCGGTGGCCGCGGGCAGCCGGGGCCGTGCCGGGCCGCGGGGAGCCGGGTGTCCCGGGCTCCTGCCGCCCCGCTGGCTCCGAGCCCGGCGTGCCCGCTGGCCCCGCCGCCGGGCTCGGGGCTCGGGGGCAGCCCGCCAGGACAGCCCCGTGTCCCGGTGTCCCCCAGGCTGCCGCGGCGGGACCGACGGGGGCTCAGGCCGCCGGTGCGGCCCTTGCCGGGTGTCGATGCTGCTGGCGCTTGGTGGCCCGTGGCCAGCAGGGCTGAGTCACAGGGACTGACCAGTGCCGCTCTTTGTAGAAGTCGTCCCTCGGACCTCCTATTAGCCGCTCCTTTCAAGAAAGTATCATTAATTGTTTTGGCACCCTCCAGTCTCTGCTGTTGCATCTTAGTTCTGTACAGTTCTCAGCATTTATTCACATGATGGTGACATTTAGATCCTTTCTACCACACCTTGTTTCCAAGCCTAATCTAAACAGAGCGCTCAGGGCAGGCAAAGTCTAAAGGATTTGACATAGGTTTTGTAAATAATGTTCTCTTCTCCCTGAACAATTGTCACAGAGGCTAAATTCTACTGAAGTGATTTTTGCAGCATTCAAGTGCTGTGGGGATTCACCCCCGTGGTCACCGATCCTCTGGTGAGTACTGCCCTGGAGCTCAGACTGAACCCCTCTGCTGCTGGTGTGTAAGTCTTTGCAAATAAATCCTCTCCTGAGGGACAGAAACGTTGTGTTCCAGCAGCCCAGCTGTGGGATGGGCAATGGTTGGAACAACTTTGTTAAATAAGTGACAAGTGTGAAGCTGTCAGGGCTGTGGGTGGTTTGTGGGTGCAGCCGTGGCAGCTGAGTGTCCCCAGCTTGGGGTGCTGCTCTGCCAGGGCCCCCCGATTCCACCAGGTGCACATTCTTCTCATGAACCTGCAAACCTGTGGGCTGCAGGCTGCTCTGGAGCTGCTGTGCATGAGCCTGGGGTGCAGCAGGTATTTTATCTCCTGTCACAGCCCTGGGCTGGGCTTTGGTCCCCTCTGTTCTAGGCTCTGCCCAGGTAACCCTTACCTTGTGGCACACTCTGGGCTGTGGTTTCCCAGAGCAGCGCTGGAAATGCTCAGGAGGATCTCTGAGTACCTCCAGCCTCTTCTGGCAGTTGTTTCATCCTTTGGAAACTGAATAACTCAGCTCCCTTGGGAGCTTTTAAGCCATTTCTCCACTCGTTCTTGCTGTTCCTTTCACTGTCCATCTGATCCCCCCTCCTCAAGTACTCTGGGAGCAGAGCTACCACACCACCCAGCTTGGTCTGAGCCAGTCAAAGGCAAAGTTCCCTTCAAAACCAGCTGTAAGTATTGCTGAAAGGCCACAGTGGCACTGCAGAAATATTTTATTTTCTTCATCTGTGCTCAGGTTTTGGGTATGATGTGGGCTTTCTCACCTTCATCACTTCTGTAGCAAACCCACATCTGAATTATTCACATTACACTTGCTCCCAGCATGCCAGTAGCCAATTTTATAAAGACCAGACTGTAATGTTGGTTTAAATCCTCTCTATTGAATCCCAACTCACTGCTGGATTGTGGGGTGTGTTGTTTTTTACAGTGACAGAATAAAATTGCTCTCCATTTTAAAATTCTACATGTGCTACTGATTGCTGCTGTTTCTGAAGAAGGAAATGTATCACGTTCAAAATAACAAACAATATTTATGCTGTTGGGTTTAAATATGGAATATAATTTCTCAAGTGCCAGTGCCCTACTACATGTATTAATTTAATCCCTCATGTTACCAGCCAGCCCTAGGTAATTAGTTAGTCTGCAGTGCAGGGAGTCTGTGGGAAGTAAGTGAAAGAATCAAGTCTGGTTTACTTAGAAATGAATTCTGGTGCATGGCTACAGACCACTGAGGGATCTGTGGGTTGGAAAGTTTGAAAATCCCTGGCTGAGGGTTTAGACACAGAAGTTAAATAAATCATGAGAGGATGCAGCACATAATATTTGAATTATGAAGCGTGCATTGCATTGGCTGGATGTGCTTCATGAATGGCAGTGGTTTAGATTTTAAGGAGAAAAAATTAATGTTTTCCTGAAACAAGCTCTGGTTGGGCAACATGAAGGCATGACAATGCAGCAGAGTCTAGGGAAAATATAATCATCAGAGTTGGCTGATTAATTTGATTTTCAAAATGATCAAGTATATTTTAAAGACAATTTCAGGATGATTTGGTGCTATCTTAAAAATGCCAAAATAAAAATCAGCTGAATAGCATAAATTTGGTTACTAAGCAGTTCACCATACAATATTTACATATATAAGCAGCTTTTACTGTGCTGAGTAACCCTGCTTGTTCAGTAAAACTGCTCGTACAGGCTGAGGTTATTTCTCTGCATACTTAGAGAGCGAGTTGTGAGCTGCTGCTGTTGGAGATCCTCTGTGCAAGTAAAGCAGGGGCTTTGGTGGGTTTTTTAAGTATTGTACTTGGTAGGCAAAGCTGAAACAAGGGTAGTTTAGATCAGTAACAAGAACAATACCTGAAGATTGAGTACCCTGAAAGTTTGTCAGTGCCTGATGACAGCAAGATTTAATGCTACAAAAAGTAGTCAAAATTTCCTGGTGTTCCTGTTCCTGAAAGGACCTTCTCAGCAGCTCTTCTGCCGAGGGAGTCAAGCAGGGAGTCAAGCAGGGAATCAAGCAGGGAGTCACACAGGGAGTCAAGCAGGGAGTCACAGGGAGTCAAACAGGGAGTCACAGGGCGTCACACAGTCACACAGGACAGCAGGCAGGGTGAGCCAAGGGCAGGTTTCACTGGCAGTGAAGCTCTTCTGTCCTTCAGCAAGCAGAGCCCCTGGTGCCACCGACTGCAGGTGACTCAGGCAGGGCTGGGGCTGGGCTGAGCTGCCTCCTGTCCTGCCTCATCCCCTTCATGTTCCCCTGAGCAGGAGCTGGGCTGAGCTGCCTCCTGCCCTGCCCTGCCCTGCCCAGCTCCTGTCCTGCCCAGAAGAACGGGAGCCCCTCGGGGACTTTCCTCTGCCGAGAGATCCTCAAATGCAAAATACCAAACTTGTGTTTCTTCAAGAAATAATCACAGCTGCTGGTGGGTGTAAACAAAGTATAAGATTTTAAAAAAAGAAAGAAAAAAGTGACACACATACACAGAAAAAAGCGTTCATCATTTCCATCAAAATCCTGCCAGGGATCTTATCACTCTTGCTAAAGTAGCCTGTGCTGCCAGAACTTATCAGATGTTTCCCTTGAATTGGTGTCATAATGCCACTTTATGGTTCTTTATGAAGAACGTGTTCCATGGCATGCTTATATCCTGCTCTCAGATGTGATATTTATATTCAAAATATACATAATGGTCAAAGTTCAGGCCTCTTCCTCTGTTCGTTATTTGTTGTCAACTACCTCCTATTTACCCCAGGAGCAGATTACTGAAAGGTTATGGGGTTTGGGCAAGCACACAGAACAGGGAGAGCAGTTCTGTGTTCCTGTGTGCAGCACTCAGGTTCTGTGTAGGTGTGGTGAAACAACTTTTGGAACCATAAATGTAATCTTGATAGCACTTGCATGGAAACTGCTATTGTATGGTAATGAAACTGGTGTAATCAGCCTGGAGTGAAACTGGTGACTAATTCAAAAAGCAAACTTCCTGTCTGCAGCAAAAGCCCTTTGGAGAAAAATGCCTTTTCTTCACTGCCCCGTGGCACTGTGTCACATTTCAGCCCTAACTGTGCTGCTGGAAGTGCTCAGATGCAGCAGATAATTATCATTTGGGGTTTTCACTCTTGAATTTGTTTAGTTCCTCAGTCTCCTGACCAGGAGCAAAGAGTTGGAGTGACATCTTCTATCAGGGCAGGGTGGAAGGAGTGCTTCCAGCTGGGGTCTCTGGGGATGAGACGGGGAGTTGCGAGGTGCCAAAGGAGCAGCTGGTGATGGACTTTTCCCCCGTGTAACTTTTCCTCCACCCTCTAACAACCTGTCTTTGGCCGGGGCTGCTGCTGTGCCGCTGTGCTTGGGGCTGTTGGTAGGTAGCGAGGGCTGGGGACTTTTCCCACTCTTCACTCCGCTGAGAAGGAAACCAAAGGCCAGATTTTGGGAAGGATGGC